TGCACTTTTCGAAAAAGAGGTGTCTCTCCCAATGTCTCGTCCGAGAATCCCCCAAATAAAATGGTTCACTTACCTCATGGCTGTTTGTGGGATATTGCTCTGCACACATTAGCTGCCAAGTTTGGCCACCACCCACAGTCACTACACTTTACAGTACATCCTATGGAGCGCAATGGGACATTCTCTCGACCTGATAAGGAACTATTCCAAATGCAAAGGATTATTATTATAAACAATTTCTTGGAGCAAACGAATGCCCAATCGGTGATTAAACAAAGCAGAAAAGGTTTTATTAAATTGCTACAACTAATTGTAAATTAAAAGAAAACACAAAGATTACTACTACATTCCGGACTCGGCTCCTGTTACCCCTCTGAGGCCAAAGCCCGAACTGGGGGTCCGCGCGGGATGAGCCCTCCAGTCAGTGCTTTACATTACAGTTATACCCCAACAGCCATCACCCGAACACCACTCCCCACCCACAGCTCCGAGCCCCGCCCACAGCCCCGAGCCCCGCCCACAGCCCCGAGCCCCGCACATAGCCCCTCCCACTGCCCAGTGCACCGCCCACTGCCCGAGCCCCGCCCACAGCCCCGAGCCCTACCCACTGCCCGAGCCCCGCCCACAGCCCCGAGCCCCGCCCACAGCCCCGAGCCCCGCCCACAGCCCCGAGCCCCGCCCACAGCCCCGAGCCCCGCCCACAGCCCCGAGCCCCGCCCACAGCCCCGAGCCCCGCCCACAGCCCGAGCCCCGCCCACAGCCCCGCCCACAGCCCCGCCCACAGCCCCAAGCCCCGCCCACAGCCCCAAGCCCCGCCCACAGCCCCGCCCTCAGTCCGAGCCCCGCCCACAGCTCCGGTACCGCGGAGTCAGTGAAGGCCGGGGCCTCGGGTCGGGTTTAGGGTCGGGGTTTAGGGTCGGGGCCTCGGGTCAGGTTTACGGTCGGGGTTTAGGGTCGGGGCCTCGGGTCGGGGCCTCGGGTCGGGGTTTATAGTCGGGGTTTATAGTCGGGTTTAGGGTCGGGGCCTCGGGTCGGGGTTTAGGGTCGGGGTTTAGGGTCGGGGTTTGGGGTCGGGGTTTAGGGTCGGGGCCTCGGGTCGGGTTTAGGGTCGGGTTTAGGGTCGGGGTTTAGGGTCGGGGCCTCGGGTCAGGGCCTCGGGTCAGGGCCTCGGGTCGGGGTTTAGGGTGAGGGCCTCGGGTCGGGTTTAGGGTCCGGGTTTAGGGTCGGGGCCTCGGGTCGGGTTTAGGGTCGGGGTTTAGGGTCGGGGTTTAGGGTCGGGGCCTCGGGTCGGGTTTAGGGTCGGGGTTTAGGGTCGGGGCCTCGGGTCGGGGTTTAGGGTCGGGATTTAGGGTCGGGGCCTCGGGTCGGGTTTAGGGTCGGGGTTTAGGGTCGGGGTTTAGGGTCGGGGTTTAGTGTCGGGCGGGGCCGGGGTTTAGGGTATAGTGTTTATCTTATCTGCTTTATTAGCTTTTCTTCCTATAAGTTTAATAGAAAGAAGCACTTTGATGTTATAGTACATGAAGCAAATTAAATTAGTGACAGCTGTTTGCTGCACCGCTGTGGATTATAGTCATAGCAATGGGCTCTTTCCCTCTACTCACAACCTCAGGATTGTTTTTCCAGAGTGTCACAGCGCCATCTCTGCTCCTCTTTAAGTGGAATTCTTATACGGCTTTTCACCGCAAAAACTGGAGAATGAGGCACTGTCAGTGGAAGTTTCCTCTTTTCTGGAACTCCCTCTGGAAGTAAACCAAGTCAGTTTTTAGGATGTAAAAAAAATTACAACTAAATGCATATCTCTTGAATTATAGGAACAATAGCTCCTATTCTGCAATGCATCTCAGCTCATAATATCTTCACCACAACATCTTCTAGTATCCAGATGGGGCGCGGACAGGGATGGAAAAGGTACTGTTCCTGATCCTCGGGGTTGCAATTTTCCTGATACGATTGTCGGTCTCCAAGCGAAAGCCAATAGGCTCTGGGGGTTCGTTCACCGGTGGCTTCTCTGGGACCACCTTCCAGGATTCTGGGGTTTAGTTCTTGAGCTTTGAATCTGTAACTGAAGCAGCAGCAATGACCAAAATCAGTGCTTTAGAAAACTACAGAAGTTACTCAAGTGATTGAAACCTCAGGAAGCAAACTTGGAAACCAAACCATTCACTGCTAACCAAAGAATTGGTACGTTAACAAGTAATTTTTAACCTTTCTTTAGCGCTTTCATATTGGAAAGATAGACATAAGAGCATACAGGAAATTGTATATCTATAACTGTTAAATTTCAATATTCCTAGAGTCCTGCGCACTTGCCTCGCAAAAAAGTCGCTCAATCCATGACTGTTTGTAGGACATTGCGCAATTGGCTGCCGTTTCATCCACAAAATATGCAGTCAATCCACTTTACAATGTATTCTGTGAAATGTTTCGAGACATCTCAACAAAATGATGGAAGCTCTATATCAAATGCATGGATTATTACTATCACTTCCTGCCATGGCAAATCATACCCATCCTACAAGTTGTGAACCACGTGTGAGAATCTCACTCTCGCTGTCTAGTGTGTATGCGTATATATATTAATAATCGGTTAACTTAGCTAAAACGTGTCAATTGAACAATACTGATGTTCAAAACTGAGACTGGGAGCCGCACAGAAAATCAATAATCGATTGAGAATTATGGGCACATTAGCAATTTCTAAAAGCCTTTACAAAACATCACCATCTGACAGTGGAGCTCATGGCACGACATCGCCAACAGTTGGAATTTAAAAGCAAGAAAATTGACAAACTAAACTTTATGCATGTTCTAGAATATAGCAATGAACATAGTTATAGATACAAACCAGTGCATTAGTTCACAGAAATAACAGGTCAGAAAGATCACTAATTCAGAATTTCAACCCTCAGTACAAATGAAGATTGAGGAAGGATTTCCCCTTTCCATCAATCTTTTCTAAGCGCTTTCACACCTTTCTTCCCTCCACCACAGGCTTGTAGAAATTAAACAACCCTAAAGAGATGACAAAGAGATGGCTCAAAACGTACGACTGTATTTTCTCCACCTCTTCAGCCTCAATTTCAGCTGTGCTCTTACAGGTGGCCTCCCGAGCACGGCCTTTGGTGGAGTCAGAGGAGCAAAGGAGTCAGAGGTTTGGTCAGTTTCATCTTCATAGGGACCCTACGAGGACCTAAAATCAGCGGGGGGAGGGGGGGGGGGGGGGGGGCGGAAGAAAAGGCTTCAATGGTGCACGTTGGAAAAGAAATAAAACTTTATAGTAAAATCTTGAAACCCACTCACAAATTTATGGTCTTGTCATGGCTATTTTTGTAGACAAACAGACCCCTGCAGCAGTAAGTTCCATAAATAGCCATAAGGTGGATGACAAATGGTTTGAGGATTGTTGCCAGCATCCAGGGAAAAGCCCTCTGCTGTTTTCCAGTAGTGTCATGGAATATAACTATGTTATGATACAGACTCCAGCATTGCACTGGAGTGACAGCACCAAGGAGAAGCTCAATTCCTGACATGGCTGAAGAGGAGAAATGAGACTATCCAAGTGACAGTACAAGAGTTTCCTGGATGCTAACAAGCTGTCTTTAGAAAGATATCTGAATTGTATAGAGTACATTATAGCCTAAAGGATTCCCACTCTAGATTAGAGGAAAGCAATTCCTTCATCATCAAGGAGCCAGTTAGTGTCACATTAATGGTGATTCAGCAGTACGAATGGTTCTACTGACATGTCACCTTTGAACATTCAATAAGGTTGGGCCGAGCTAGTCAATGTCACCCGTGACTCTCCCACCCCCCCTCCCCTCCATTCAGCTGGTGGATCCTGCAATGACAGACTAGCATAGTTTTATAACCACAGAGCTGAAGATATGGTGGCAATCATACAAACATCACTGAGTTTGGTTGAAATCCCATTTACCTTCTTCCACAAGTTGCTTGCTTCTCAAATGATAACTTGATGGTGTGCAACGTTGAAATTCTTCCACCTGCTGTGCAACAGAGACATATGCTTTGCTCTCCATGTCTGTGTGTTTTCTTTGACTCCCACAAGATAAGTTGAAAGGCTTTGGTACAGTACTTCCCTTCAGTGCACGCACCTGGAATGGTGAGCTGTCAACATTACTACAGAAATTGTGCATATTTGGAAATTAAATGTTTTGGTATATTAATATTTTTTGGAGTCCTGTAGCTCAGTGGTCGGAGCAAGAGATCTGGGTTCGATTCCCGGCAGGGCGAAATCTTGGGCAAGTCTCCTTATTCCACGTACCTGATAAGAATCCCTCAAGAAAAAATTAAATAAAAAGTTGGTCACTCAATTCACGACTGTTTGTGGGACACTGCTATGCACAATTGGAAGATGTGAAAAGCACTATATCAAAATGCAAGGATTATTATATTATTAAATGTCAATTATGTTCACACCGTTTTTTGAACTAAAAAGCTAATCATCCGAATAGACACAGAAATGTAAAAGAATGCCTGTCAATACAATATTTCAAGGAGAATACGCCGCCCTAATGGGAATGCATAGAGCATGTAGTTTTACTCTGAATGAATTGATATTCTGACACAGAGGTGCCTGGAATGCGCATCAGTTTAGTGTGCTGACCTGAGAAAAAAGTTTTAAACAAATTAATTAACTGTGTACTTAAGTCCACCCAGAGCTCTATGGCTGGTCCTTTTACATCAATAAAAACACCATCAAATTCCAGCATTGGCAATGCAAAACCCTAGCATTCTGCTGTTAATGATAATTCAATAGCAACGAACACACATTTAAGAGACTACTGTACAGGGGGAGACGAGAGACTCTGATGCAAAACAACTCAGTCATCAACAAATTCCTTTTTAAAAAAAATTCAACACAATGTGTGAAAAGATGTAAAAATGTGCTACTTTACTGTCAGCATCATTCACTCCCATGTCAGATAGACAATACAATCCAAGCACATACTTGTACCACAAATGGCTGCCTTCAATGTCTCCTCATTCAGTTTCCTCTGCTCAGCAAACTCCTTCTGAAACTGTGAAATCTTTTCCATCTTTAACTCTTCTCTGCTTTTGCCCTTTGCACCCATATGCTGTTGCCTCCTAGAAAAAGCAAAGGCCATTTTAAAGTACATGCCACTCAAAAACAATCTCACCTACCAGCTGGTTTTCTCAACCATCTGTACACACACTTGCAATTCCGATTTCTAGCATTATTCACTAATAAAAGAAGAAATAGTACTTTACAAACTTTATTTCTAAATGGCACTCGTTCCATTTTGGGAGGTCAGCTGGGTGTCTTTGCATGTGGAAACCCATCACCTGCTTAAGAGTATCCAAACTAAACCGAGCTCTTTCCCACACGGAAATTCCAGAGATATTTATCAGAATAGAATGTACACTTTCTCCCATTGTGCTGAGCTAATTCCAGGAAGTATTAGGGGCAGGTTGGCAAGAGCCAAGGCTTGGGGATCCTGGAGTTGGGATAACTGCTGGAGTCTAACCAGCTGAAACTACATAGCTTGCCATTGAAAGCACTGCCTGGCAAGCTTCCCACTGCTTGTCCAGCTAAAACCACCCTATCTGTTAGGGCTTTGGCCTACAGCGTTAAGGGGAGCTGAGTGGGAAGAAACCTTGCTTGGCCCCAGTGACTGGATTGTGCTTTCATATGTTACATGTGTGACCTGCACATACAATCTACAGGTTTGTTTCATGTATTTCAGGCACAGCAACAGCTGGGGTAAGAGGTTGATCTTAGATACCTTTGCTCTTTCAGTCCTGTCAAATGCTTCCCATTACAGCACATTTCCAAAGTGATGTGACAATGTCAGCAGAGGGCAGAACATTCTTACAACAAATTCACATTCATATAGTGGAGGGAAACAGGCTGCAAGTCCAATGCCAATTGTAGAAGCAATACTGTTGGAGTTGTTAAGATAGGTTAGAAAGCAAATAGAAGGAATGAAATAAATTTTATTCTGAATGAAATCTATAACAACAACAAGATTTCATTTATAGAGTGCCTTTCATATCGGGAAAACTTCCTAAGGCGCTGGACAGTTGTGTCAGCCACTTTATACAAAAATGCGTGCAATGAAAGACAGCAGCAAGTGAAGAGTTAAGATAATTTCAAACTTAATTGTAGAGTGAAAAGATGAGGCAAAACAATCCCAACAGAAGATCCTGGGGGAGGTGCTGCGTGTGGGAGGGGAGCTGTGTATGTATTGGTGGAGGGGGCTGTGTGTGTGGGGGAGGGTGGTGTGTGTGCGGGGGGAGGTGTGTGTGGGGTGTGAGGGGAGCTGTGTGTATGTGTGTGTTGGGGGAGGGCGCCTGTGTGCCTGTGTGTGTGGGGGGGTGGTTGGGTTTGTGTGGGGTTGGGGGCTGTGAGTGTCTGGGGGGCGGGGGGGCTGTATGTGCGTGGAGGGGCTGTATGTATGTGGGGGTTAAGAACATAAGAACATAAGAATTAGGAGCAGGAGTAGGCCATTCGCCCTCAAGCCTCTGCCCCGCCATTCGATAAGATCGTGGGTGATCTTATCTAATTACCGCCCTGTCCCCATATCCCCATATCCCCTAATCCCTCTGTTTTTTAAAAATCTATCAGTCTCAGCCTTGAAGATGTTCAAGGACTGACTGAGCATCGACAGCCTTCTGGGGGAGTGAATTCCATAAATAAAGCTGATATCTCACCAGTCGATTTGACATACGTGAGATTCCCTGATGAAGATATAAATTATATTACAAGGCATTTTCTCCTAGTTGGTGACCTGGTACCTCGTATAGATAGCCTGAAATTTTGCTAAACCATTTGGGGTCAGGGAACATCTATTGCAGAATTTTCCTCCAAAGAGTCCTCGACGGTGTAATCACATATGGTCGGATGACCCCGGATCAATGAGCTCAATGAAGCTTCTGGATCATGCATTTCATTACACAGACACAGAACAAAGATTACACCAGTCAATGTAAATAACACAACAATGATTCAGCTCGACTACTTTGTGACTCTGGAAATTTGTCATTTGTAATGAATTTTTCAAAGCTTTAACCTAATAACGTGTTTAGTCATGCAATTAAAACTGAATGAAACATCCTAGATAGGCGCCCAAAACATTGCTGGAAGATATCTCCAAAGGACTTACATCATCGACAGGTTTAAGTTTGAATTCAAAAGACTGGATTATTGATGTTGAAGCTGATAAATATGAAATTCTCCATTATGCACTCACAGCTACTGTATCTTATCTAATAATAAACAAGCTAAAGTCATTTGTGCATCTAAGGGAAATTAACCTAATGGAACAGAGTGTTCATTCTGTATTTGCTGCTGTCCTCATGCACCCATGTGTGCCTTGCTGAAAACAAATAACTTGAAAATTACCATTACTAATGGTAGTTTCGGACAAATCAATTATCAGCCTGGCTCAATTGCTTCCACTGTCGCTTCCGAAAGTTGTGGGTTCAAGCCCTATGCTGAGGCTTTGAGTTCAAATTTAAGTTGACACTTCAATGCAGTGCTGGAGTTGAGGTGTATTACATCATTGGAGATGCTATCCTTTGAATGAAACTAATGCTTCTTCTGCCTGTTCAGGTGGATGGTAAAGATCCCACAGCACTGTTTGAAAATAGAAGAGAGATTATTGTTGGAAAGGGGGAGACAGGAAAGGTGGTGCAGTCACGAGGTAGGTAGGTTTTAAGATGCGGATTAAAGACTAATAGAGAGGTAGAGATAGAGCTGGAGAGAGATAGAGAGAGATAGAGACAGGTGAAAAGGAAGAGGGAGGGAGTTTCAACGAATTTGAATTGGGCAATATAAGTGAGTTGATTTTACAGAGTTGCTCAAGCAATGTAATTCATTGCCCAATTCAAAGTCAGTAGCTAATTTTGATAAAACTTACATTTGGGACTTTGCTGCAATATCAACTCGCACAAACAATTTGTTAGTTTGGCTCATGGGTAGCACTATCACATCTGGTTCAGGTGGTTCTGGATTGAAGCCTCCCCATCGCTAATTAAACTCACAGTCTAAGCTGAGACTCTAGTGCTGTACTAGAAGAAGTGCTCTGACTTTCAGATCAGACATTGAACCAAGGTTCCATCCTCCCATCTCAGGTGGATGTCAGCGATGCCACAATACCATTGAAAAAGAGAAGGCAGGTGTCCTTGCCAATAGTTCTGTTGACTTATTAGACATTCATTTGGTGGCTAGTCATAGGGTCTTGGTAGCGCAAACGGCTACCACAATTTCTGCAAAAACAGCCTTTATACTCGACAGTAATTGTGAAGCACTTTTAGATGTTTAGACGTAATACGGTACTATAAAAACAAATTCTTCTTTCTTTGAAAACGTTAACATTCAATTTCAGCATGCGCAGAACAGTAAGAACATGGATTTGAGTTGTTATATTCTTTAGCAAAGAGGAGCTGGAGATATAAATTAGGATTTTCTTAACACATTGCTCTACTGCTGGAAGCGATGTTCACTTTCAGTAACACCAACAGAAGGAAAGTAAACCAAAGGTGTGTTGAAAATGCACAAATGATATTTGATGTGTGGCAAACAAAGAAAATCGCAGGTAATAAAAGAATGGGCAACATTTAAAGATCATTAATTTGGTGGATACAAACAAAATGATATTTGCTGGCTGCAGAAAAAAACTAGCTTTCTCCCACTAACTTCAAACAGCTCCTTAACTATGTTTGAAACACTTTTTGGAAAAGCATTTATTGATATTGGATACATAGCATATACAAAGGAACGGTGGGGAAGGAAGAAGATCTGAAATGTTTTCTCTGAGTAAAAGAAATGGGGTGCAAATGAAAACTTTGATTAGGTTTTTGTTTATTGCGAAGCACATATCCACTCTCGATACACAGGCAAAGCGATTACAAAATTATTCTCACTTGAGTGCAGAAGAGCCAATTGATTTTTTTTTAAAAAAGCCTTGTTTCAACTTTTATTTTTCTCTGGCTTTAAACGGACAAACCAAAATACAGTATTGATAAGATTTGAGTTTTCAATGCAAAGATATCATGAGTGTTAAACCTGTAGAGTGCAGCCAGAGGGCAGCCCAGGACACGGATGGAACGGGCCCTCGATTGTGGAGGCCTGAAGAGTTTTGTCCATGGACCTGGATGGGCTAGCATGGATTTTTGTCAGCACCCAATCTGGTGGGTGTCTGTAATTCACACTGGAGTCCTGCAGCTCAGTGATTGGAGCACTAGCCTGGCAAGCAAGAGACCTGGGTTTGATTCCCAGCAGGGAAAAACCTTGGGCAGGTTTCCTTACTCCACACGCCCAATAATAATCCTTCAAGAAAAAAAATAATAAATTGGTCACTTCAATCCATAACTGTTGTGGGACACTGCTGCGCGCAATTGGCTGCCGCATTTCGCCCACAAAATATACAGTCAATTCACTTTACGGTGTATTCTGTGAAGCGCTTTGAGACATCTAGAAGACATAAAAAACGCGATATCAAATGCAAGGATTATTATTAGCAATCTCATCTATCGTCAAAGCAAGGTTTTTTTTATGTAACATTGTCGAGATATCTCAAACGTTCCACAGGATTTTAGTGTGAAGTGTAGTGACTGTGGCGAACGTGGTGTCTTTCCGTAAACAGCCGTGAAGTGAATTACCACTTTAGTTGTGGGATTGTTGGCCTGGACACCGGGATTCAAATGCAGTGTACCAGGCAAGAGAAAATTTTTTATTAAGTCCCAAGCACTGAACGTTATTCATATTTACGCTTTTTACGAAGTAAGACAATTATAGTGAGATATGAGGCTGAAATTCAATTTGTCCTTTGTGATGACTTCATAAACCATGCCGGGTTGCTGCTTCAGTGGTCTGTGTACACCTGCAGAGGGCTAGTATTGTAGATATACCTTCCAGTTGTTCATTATTATATACTAACTGTACCCATTGCAGCTTCGCTTGCAACCAAAGGATCCAATATGGAATGTAGATTGACACACAGACAGATATTTTGTCTTTATCTATCCTCATCTGGGAGGACTCCTGTTGGAGGACTCCTTTTGGGTGAATTCAATGGGAGGACTCGGCGCTTTAAAAAAGTAATTTTGTTGTTGTTGCCATG